GAAAAACGTGTATTTTTAATAAAATTACGACTGGTCTGTTGAACAAACGTCACGTATATATGAAGTTTCAGTAGTGTTTTAATCGTTATCAGTGATAAACACGTCATTTTCGATCGATCTGAAATTATTTAAACTTGCTTATAGTTGTTTTATTTCAAGGAGAATCTATATTGTATTTAATTCACATCAGTAGCTTATTTATAACCATGATAATGAGATGTCTTTTCCTACTATTATGATAGAACGTTCATTTCCTTATCAACACTTCTATTGAAGGTTGTACGACCCTTCCGATAACCAGCAGTAGGTACTAACAAGTATAGGTATACGTAATGGAGTCTGGCTTCGAGGAAAAGTCAAAATGTCATGTCGAGATATTTTACACCTCTGAGTCGATGAAACTGTCAGTCCATGAATTTGTCAGCGACAGACTGCATGCACATGCTCCTCATTACCCTGCCCCCCTCCCCTCATAACTCGTAAGATCGGAAGTGAAACCGATTTGTCGTGGTAACCGAAGTCATAACTTCCCAGATGACTTCAGCGGAAGTTGGACTGGCAGATGACAGAAATGCGACAACAGGTGCGCGCGCCACTGATACAGATTGCCGTTATCAAGACGGTATCGGAACTCACATAAATAACGACATACTAGGGAGGGGGAATCGGGAGGGGCGAAGAGGGGACGACGGATTTACGGTCGTGATGCGGAGGGTGCCAAATCGTGCGGAGCGGGTCGGAAAGCCTACATGCTTCTGTCAATGTAACGTAGGTGAAGGGGAGAGCGCGATGAAGGCTCTGATTGATGAAGAATTGGATTCAGTATGAATGAAAAAATGGCGTACAAAAATAGGACATATTTGCACCTGGGTTAATTTTGCCGAGGCAGAAGTACACACGATATATAGACTAGAAGGAATGGAGCACTAATGAAAACCATGAATAGGACAGCAATAGGTTCGAGTTACTGGTAAAGGGAAGAATTCAGCAGATTTGAGCGAACGTGTTGAGGGATTTGAAGTTACCAACTGAATACCATGTATCACTTCCGTAAGCAAACCACTTCATTTATGTCCTTTCGACAGTAGTTTTGTTATATAGAAAGTCGCTACGCTACCATATATAATGAACGTCTGTTGTCTTATAAAGAACAGATCTGTTGTAAAACGAGGTTCTCACAAGTAAGCTCGTGTGGCGCTAATCAGTCGTTGCACCCGAACAAGAGACTGTCACGAAATGATGTCCCTTGTACCCTGGTACAATATGATCCAGCATTTGTACGCTCATGTTAGTTTTCTGCTATAATGTGTTACCCTCGAGACATTTCCGTTTTCGCACTCGCACATCACATTCTACCTGCTTTCATTATTATATTCGGTTTAAAATATTAGATATCGCATAATATTTAATTCAAAAGTGAAATCTTAATAGAAACAGTGATTTAATAAAACTAGGCGTAATTCGTAAATATGGATGCTTTTCTGTAAGTGTAGTGCAGACTCGGGGGAGAAGTAGGGTTGACGGTGCCTGTCTGTTATTAATTGGATTTGATGTAGGAGGTAAGTGTGATTTATGGAGTGTGTTGATGGTGGAGAGTGCCGTGTGTTTGGTATGTAGTGGTGGACCTGGCTTGTATCTATCACAGTGTTTACCACACCGCTACCATGATCACCGATACACAGCAAACAGACCTCCTAACATACATCATCGCCAACCCAGCTTCATCTCAACATTAATACCTAAATCTAACACTTTATTTTCTTATTATTACATTTTTTTTTTTAAATAATACTTTAACCGGTTAAGATTTCCATTAAAGATATAATTTTAATAACTTGATTTCTAGACATTCTCACACATATTTCGTGTGCAGAAAAAAAACATGTAAACGACACCGTAGTATATGAAATATCTAATTTATGAATAACCCCATTCGCACGAACCGAAACAGATTACTGATAACCCGTTTTATTTTATATAGTTTATTGATACCCTGCATGGTAGTAGGGGAATACCTTGCCTGTTGTACCCCACTTCATGATCGCATGAGGTGATTACTATGGTATCTCCTGAATTAGAGTGTGGCCCTTTTTGGTTTACTTTGTTAAGGGGATGTTGAGGAAATAAACAAAATCTGCTCTCCCCACTTTAATACGTACTTGGCATCGTTTTCATTCTACACTCATTTTTCTACTATGTTCACCTCAGTGTCTGTATTGGCACATCTAACGTTTGCGTGAGGGTATTTATGTCTGTATGAACTTACTGTGCTGAATGGCCGTAAAGGTTTTATCTGATATCAACCATCAAATGTTAATAAACCGTTCTTCATGTACACCTCTGACATAACACTTTTAATTATAGCAATACTTTCTATTTTTACTTCAAAAGAATAACCAACATGTATGTAATTATTTAAGAGTACTTGCTGACAGTTGTATTGACGATAATCGAGGAAATAAAACATGCTATGTTAAAGATAAATTACTGTAAATAAATTCAAACTTAAACATTGTAAATATATTTACTTTGAAGATCGTCAACAGTTTAATGCTTAAACTTGGTAAACAGATTTTTACTTTACTATGGTTAATGGATAAATACTTAACCATTGCTCAATAGACATATATTAAACCTGGTAAGATAAAGATATACTTAACCGTTAATAAATATATACTTAATCATGGTAAATGAATGACATTGCAAAGATATACTTACAAAAACATGGTGAATAAAAATATACGAATTGATAAAAACAAAAGAATGGTAAATAGTTACGAACTAAAGTATGGTAAATAGTTAATAGCTAAAGTATGGTCAAATGAATATTTTAATCTCAAATATTGTAAACAGATAAATATTTAAACATTTTTACGTATTGTGTAGTGTACAGATCAACAAAGAAGCTTTCACATATTCATATCAATAAATTGACAAGCAATATAAACGACTTAAAAGTGATCAAAACGAGTAGTACCCTACGGGGCAAAACGAATGTCCCTTCCCTATACCGAACACTTTCATATACATCCATGTGTATTATTGAGGTGTTGTTGAACCAATCTGACAGCTACCCAACCCTAACCTTATGGCGTACCTCTAGTATAGGTTTTACCGAACAGAGGCACAATACACTCCTCGAGAAGCACACAGACACGCCCCCTACTGAGGTGAAGGTGTACAAGTCTTAGGGAAATGTAACGAATTTAATTATATAAAAGATAGTCACGCTAGCACATGCACTTGAGGAACTATCAGTGAAATATTAAAAAAAAAAAAAAAATGAAATGAAATCCTTGTCTCATAGCTAAAATATGTAACCAATACCCATAAAATACAACATCTACCAATGTTGTTTGATATAATACAAGTTGCCACCTTTAAACGTTTAAAAACAAAATATCAGAATAACACGATCCGTTTTTATAATTTCTTCTAACTTGTACGTGTTACTGAGTACCAGTATAATTTGGGCAAATGTTCGTATTCGGGATATTGTTTAAATGAGAATTGTTGTAACAATAACATCCTCGCTGAGATGAGCGATTGCTGAAAGAAGGATCACATTCAAAGCAAAATACTGAGGCGTTGAGAAAAAATGGACATATTCGAAAATATTACTGAAATAAGGAAGGTTCATGAATCGAGTGTAATTTGCTTTCCCAGCCCTGATCTCTCGGATTCCACCGCGACTGGTAATGTGATAGCCAGGCTGTTTACCGCACACTCCATTGTTTCTCCTTCTGCCGTAAAAACAACATGGAATACTTTTGGACATGAAAGTAGAAGTAGAATATCATTCATTGAATACCACGCACTGTGACTAAACAATCTCCGGTCCAGTGTCAGCCCGCGTTTCATCTTAACTAGACGGTCTTTGTAGAATGCTGTGTTGGGTTTACGATTGGTAGCCATCGACAGCTTATGCAAGTTGCTGAAAATGATGGACGAATAGTAAATACAATATAAACAAACTAAGCTCAAATTAACGCGTCTCTATCATCACGTTATCTTAAACAGGTATCACGTGATCAGTAAGTGGTTTCAATATTAAACTGACATTGAAAGACTTCGACAAGAAGAAGAAAGCTCTCGATTCTGCAGTCGCCTTTTACGACATGTAGTGGGGTACATTAGCCCCCCACCCCCACCCCCGCGAATCTTTAGGGGAGAAAAACACATTCATTCGGTATTTTTCTCGCGCACGTTCGGGGCAAATTAGGAAATTAGGCCTGTTGTATCGTACTATACGTCTTAAAAGTCGACCAATGAGGGCCCCCTGAACAAACTGGGGCTTTCCGTGTCTTCTGCTGAGGTTAGGTTGACGAAACCACAATTGATCTGCTTCCGCCTTTGCAACATTTTGGATCTTTACATTTTCTCTATATTTCCTGAAAACCTTTTTTGTTTCCTAGTGCCTTGCTTGACAACACCTCACGTTTGGCTTTAGTGTAGAGCGTTAGCCCAGGTGGGGTAGGTCATGGGTTCTGTCCCTAGGCTAACACATACCAGAGCCCTCTAAAATGGTAGTTGTTATTCTCTGCTTGCGTTCAGTGTTTGGGGGATCGCAACAACCGGTTCACCCGTTGTCAGTATAATGTGACCGCATGAAATGATGTGCTGGGTGCCTTTGGCATGGTATTTCAGTGAGGTAGCACTCTAAAGGTCGGCAAAGGGAGTAAATACATCTGCATAAACACGCATACATAACACGCATGAAGGCACGTCCTTGAATGACCTTAGCTGTTATTGGGACGTTAAACAGAATATAGAACCAAACCAAGTGTTATTTTCCTTTTGATAAGTGTTTATATATTCGTATATCATACGACGGACTTGGTTTAATGTTCTGGGTATAACCCACATGAGAAAAGGATTATACTTGCTATAAAAAAAATAACGCTACTGGATCACATTTTGTGAAGTAACCGAAGAGATCAAATAACATTTCTTTTTCTTTTTCTTTTTGACAACCAATTAACGGTTCCGTACTGTTCCAGGTTTGGGTCACGGAGATGGACATGAACGGGGAGGAGACATGATGCGACAAGACGGTTATGGGTCACACCCACCTCCGCGACAGAAAAGAGTACGGACGTCGTTTAAGCATCACCAACTGAGGACCATGAAATCGTACTTCGGACTGAACCACAACCCGGACGCCAAAGACCTCAAACAGTTGGCTCAGAAAACGGGTCTTTCAAAACGAGTGCTACAGGTACGAACCTGGTCTTGGTTTGGTAATATTAATGTTAATCTGATCCATCGTTTTCTTAGTTGAAGCTTTTAAATACCTTGGGATAAGGCTTTATCGTGATATTTAATCAAGAAGTTTCTTTTAAATTTGTAACTATTTTTTTTTTAACTAGAAATCACAAAACAGACTTTGAATAGAATTTAAAACTTTGTATTCATTATTTAAAACGGCACATGGGCGGTAAAGTAAACCATGCAGCGTCATGTGTGTGAAAAGGTCGATACATGGGAAACAGACTCGGAAGAATACAGCCATGCCGTTTGTATAAATAACAAACGTGAAAGCGATAGCTCAAGTTTGGACACCTGTGTCGCTCCGAAGCTGACATGATGATGGCCAGTGTGGGCGGGATATCATCGCCACACAAAGACCAGCCAACATGAGTGTTTGGTCTATACGGATCTCATAAGATAATCAAATATTTGAAGATATCCCAGTTTCAAGCATTGACACGATCTAAGCCTTTTTACGCGAACTTTAACTAGGATTTTCCACGTCTTTTTGTGTTTTATTTAAGATGTTTTCAAGTTTAAAGTAAAACCGGAGGTGTGAATTCGTAACTAGTATATTGTTTAACGGTGATTGAATGTTATACCTTAGTGTACTGTCAACACACAGGTATGAGATACTCCGTGTTATAGACATAGTATAGACCCCCTACTGCCCCACGGAATCCGCCACCGAAATGTCAGCAGCATTCAATACGTCTGTCTGGTGAATAACCTAGCATTACATTCCATATGATGTAAATAGTTCAGTAAAATAGGGAACAAATCCATAACAGGGGAGGCACACGATTTTGAAATAAAAAATAATAATGCTGTTGATAAGAAGTAGGATCTGAGGCCACACCAAAACAAAAGGAAAGACATCATGAATCCCAAAATTGGAGACAATACCCTGTGGCCAGGAAGCATTTTGCACATGTGATACTTTATTCAATAAGTGTGACACCGAGATATTCTTTCAGTCGAACACATCGATTACATTATATGTTTGTGAGTTTTCGCCTTCCACCATCTCTCCGATAGACCCATCAGGTTGTTCCATTTCTAAGAAAGTTTATTGATCCTGGATCATGAGATGTCTGGAGCGTGAACATTCCTGGGGAAGTCCCAGTCTCCTTGGATGGTTAATGATAGCTTTGCTTTAAGGGCCTAGCGCCACGATCTGCGCACCTGCTGTCGCGGTCCCCTCATATCTTAAGAGGTGCGCGTGCGCCAAATCGTATGCGGGTGCATCCATTAAAGCACGTGCATCCAATCGACGTTCTCATTAAAACGCACGTGCTCAAAAGATTTCTAACGTGGTTTCTTTTTCTTCTAATTTCAACGCAATATAATGTTACTTTCTTTAAAGAAACAATCAACATTTAATTTTAAAAATAAGTTTCAAAATACAATTGATAAATATTGTGTTATTATTTTGCAATTAGACCCGTCAGGTTGTTCCATTTCTAAGAAAGTTTATTGCAATCTTTTACGATAATTTCAATTAATGATTTTAACGAACACGGTGATGTATCAAAACACTCACTTTTACGACATTTCTATATTCCACAGGTCTGGTTCCAGAACGCCAGAGCGAAGTACAGGAGGAACGTACTCAAACAAGACGACAAACCTGGTTCCGGTGGGGGCGGTAGTCAGGCCGGAAGTCAGGCAGGAGACAGTCCCGAGGACGAGAAGTCTAAGGAGAACCTATCGCTGTCTGAGATGACCGACAGTGGCTCCCCCGCCATGTCCGACATAAGTTCTTCGCCCTCCCTATCAGAACTCCACAGTAGCCATTTGGAGTCGGACCACTCCAGCAGTAGTTTATCGGACCTTTTCACAAATTCCATTAATTCCATCAGCTAAATCGTTCTGCGTTGATCATTTGTGTTCAATATCAAAACAATACAAATCGAATCCCTCACAAAAAATTGATTAACGATAAAAGACTATGTTTATCAGTAAAATACTCGAATCAAAAAACATATAGTGACATTTTTAGCGTTCTACTAGTGTAAAACAGGTGGCACGCTGTTTATACGATGGATTCTACTGTATGTGACGCTAGGTCGACGAGTTCAAAGTAAGGACCATGGGATGTTTCCAGAAACTTTGACCAAACAGCTGATCGTTCACTTTGTATGTGTTGTACATATGAGAACGCCGATGACTGATCATCAGAGACGCTTTAATTTGAAGTGAAAGGTTCTGAGTGCTCGAAATACCAGGGAATGGTTCTCTTCTATACTTTGGTATGTGTTGGACCACATTGTATAAGTGTGATAGTGCTAAAATGATATTAATTATTTTGAAGTATATGATATTTGTTTTCATCATGTGTGCAATGACGTTCTGATCTTAATCCGTATATTTACAAGCATCTGTTTCCACTATTACGTCGTACCTCACGTTTTTTTACCACAGCCATGATGACGGCGGATCACTCCAGTCTGAAACAGATACTTCTGTGATATTCTGTTCCAACTCTACTGACCTGTTTTAGTGTCACGTCATTTTGACCATTTTACATGGCTATATTTAGAACCAGATTAGACCAATGATAACACAGGGATATATAGGGTGTGGTTAGTGATGAAGTCAACTTAATATAACTTTTATAGAAGTTTTCATCTTTTATCTAATCAAGCTGTGAATGATGATTATCTTAGCCGTTAAAATGTTTAAACAGTGGCTTTTCAAATTGTGTATTTTTACAATTAGTTATTTTTATCACCAAGAAACCTTCCCTAACCAGGGCTCCTGAACAACAGCATTATTTCCCAGTAAGGCAATGTTCGTTATAAAGTATATCCCCCGTGGGTACTGCCTCTCTCCCCCACCCTCAGCCCCAATTGCTTCTAAATGGCTCTAGACCATATATACTTTGAATTGTTTTTACATATTGTTAACACGTTCTAAACCTTACTATTGCTAGTTGGGTCAAGGATAAATGTGAACAACGTTACTACTCACTAACGATTAATGCCAAGAACGTCACTGCTGACTAGTTAGGAGTATTAGAACAACTATAACAAAACCAAGGCTAAGGTAAATGTGAAGACATGACTATCAGGATAAATGTAATCAACGTCACCAATGAGTAAATGTGAAGATCTACCGTGATATCATGTCACTTACAGATAAAGTAAGTCAACGCACAGATACCTTTAGATACTGATAAAGGAAGTCAAGACCAAGATACAGTCAAAAACAGGAATTTATAATTAAATAGAGATAATTAAGTTTAGACCTAGGTTAATAAACTCCAGGCAGGTTACGATCCATTACAGATGATTTTTTTCTAGACACCATGACAATCAAATACTGGTTAATTAGTTTCGGGTAAAGTTACGTTAAAATATAGATAAACTCATACAAGCACATAAACAATTACTGGTGAATTAATTCCTGACTCGTAACAATCAAATACAGGTAAACTAATCCCATGCCACTTACAATCAGTATACAGGTAAATTAATCCCATGTCAGTTACAATCAAATACAGTTAAATTAATCCCAGACCAGTTCCAATTAAATACAGGTTAATTAATTTCAGTCCAGTTACAATCAAATACAGGTAAATGAATCCAATGCCAGTTACAATCAAATACAGGTAAATGAATACAAGGCCAGTTACAATCAAATACAGGTAAATTAATCACAGGCCAGTTACAATCAAATACAGGTAAATTAATCACAGGCCAGTTATAATCAAATACAGGTAAATGAATCCAAGGCCAGTTACAATCAAATACAGGTAAATTAATCACAGGCCAGTTACAATCAAATACAGGTAAATGAATACAATGCCAGTTACAATCAAATACAGGTAAATTAATCACAGGCCAGTTACAATCAAATACAGGTAAATTAATCCCAGACCAGTTACAATATATAAGAGATTTAATATTTCCTGGTACAACCAAATAGACATAAAGTCTAGATCAAGTACGCATGGATGAGATACATGTCAATTAATTACGGATCAAAAACAGATAAATAAAAACCATGCTCAGTTACAATCATTTACAGATAAATAAATTACATACATTTACTATAGTTAATCGCAGACACGTTTACAATTTATTACAGAAAAATACGCCCAGTGCAAATTCAAAATGAAATCCATATAAAGGTATTACAGACACGTTTTCAATCAAATACAGGATTATATAGTGATAATAAATGCCGTATCGTGTTTTGTCATGTATCGAGGCTGTCGTGTTTTACTCGTCTGAGGTGTTGAGGTGTGATTTTATTTATAAACCCCATGTTGTATATCCCTGGTCAGATTGTCTTTGTAATGCTCTACTTTTGTATACACACTTCTCAATATCGTAATTGATTTTATACTACTGTTCTTCTTAAATCCGGAAGTGACGTCACTCATGAGGTTTTTAAAATTTTGTTTTACATATTACATTGTTGTTTATTGATTAAAGTATCTGTATGTATGACTACTACAGTTGATGTATATATCTGATTTTGTCATTATCATTTCTATCGTTAGTAAGTCAGACCTAGTGAGGGTTCTGAATACTTACATCAATATGCAATAATCGACTATTTCATGATTCAAAAGAAAATGCACTTTAATATCAGGGAACGCTTAGTTAAAACGTTTTCTGATTTATTTCAAACAAAAACAGACGGGCGTCAAATCCTCACTACAAGAACGTTAAATTTAAACTTTTAGACTTTATCAAGGTGTGAAATATACAGAAACAAAATTACAATGTACTAATGCCTCAACACATTGACATGAATACCCTCAAAACCACGCGGTGTTTTGGAGAGGTAGGCATATGTCGTGATGACCACCGTCCAATCAAGTCTGTCGGTCACGTGTCACATGAACGCAATGACCTTAAAATATCATAATTAACAGCAGAAATCAAAACAGTTATGTACTTGTTAAAACGTCGGATGTCAGTATATTTACAAGCTTGCATGTAACAATTATTTACACTTACACAATAAGATTTATATACATTAACATGTGCACAGTGTGTATTTACACACGTTCCACGATACAGTTACCCAAGTATAATTATATATTTATACGCATGCAATTATATTACACACATGTAACTATAAAAGTATGAAGCATACGCATACAATTATATATTTACACGCCAATAAATGTATTCAGACGCATGTACATATTTATAGCATTCTAGTTTCCACCTAACCACGAGTGGTACGTGTTGTGAACGTCAGACAGTCTCTAACACAAACGTACTGTCAGCCGACCATCCTAGTAGCTAGGACGACGTTGGTCAGATCCTCTGGTACACCTCACGATGTGCTGCCACGACGCCATTGGTCAGATCCTCTCGTACACCTCACGATGTGCTGCTACGACGACATTGGTCAGATCCTCTGGTACACCTCACGATGTGCTGCCACGACGCCATTGGTCAGATCCTCTCGTACACCTCACAATGTGCTTAGTGATTGGTTTCTGATGTATCTACCTTATGACCGCCGCCAGATCAATATATACCAGGATGCTGGCCCAGTGATACATCAGGAGCAACACAACCGTACTTCTTATTAAATAGCGTAGAACAAACTTAACATATCAAGCATATGGCAAAAACCGCAGTACCCTCACATGGGTAAAACTACACCTAACTATACACCTGATACATTCACCAATTCTGAAGTGTAGCCTAATTTTTCTTCTTCTAAAAATAGAAAGGGTTCAATTAAAAATATTCAGTATTAAACTACATTATAAACAAATCATTTCAATTTTCAAAAACTAGACATCGTATCAAGGAAAAGTTTTCTTTTACATAAGCACATGCATCTATCACCAGAAACACGGGTATTTTGGTATTCATCGACAGCAAAAAGAAAACAGTGGTTACAAACTTGTGTACTGCTGACTACTGAAGAAATGATACAGTGGTTTGGTGGAATATTTTTTTTTCTTAATCTAAACCACTAATCGACCTGAAAAATGTCAGAAATGGTGACACGGTACAAAATGGGTAAACAGGAACGACAGACACGGAATAGAAAGGTATGAGGAGGGCAAGTGTGAAAAGTCCAAGGAATCACAACGGGTACAACAGACCATCTTTGGTTTCTTCAATATCGTTCACCATCAGACAGCGCCCAAAGAAACCTCCGACATCAGACAGCGCCCAAAGAAACATCCGACATCAGACGGCGCCCAAAGATACCTCCGACATCAGACAGCGCCCAAAGAAACCTCCGACATCAGACAGCGCCCAAAGAAACCTCCGACATCAGACGGCGCCCAAAGATACCTCCGAAATCAGACAGCGCCCAAAGAAACCTCCGACATCAGACAGCGCCCAAAGATACCTCCGACATCAGACAGCGCCCAAACAAACCTCCGACATCAGACAGCGCCCAAACAAACCTCCGACATCAGACAGCGCCCAAACAAACCTCCGACATCAGACCGCGTCCAAAGATACCTCCGACATCAGACAGCGCCCAAAGAAACATCCCACATCGGACAGCGCCCAAAGAACCGCCGATTCTGCATAGGCCCACATTAGCCGTCCCAAGTGAAGCAGGCTGGGAATTTTCCAGTGTACCTTGGGATCTGCAATAAAAAAAGTAACAATATACAATGTAGAACACATCGTCAACACACGGACAAAAATATACCACATCGTCAACACACGGACGTAAAATATACCACATCGTCAACACATGGACAAAAATATACCACATCGTCGACACACGGACAAAAATATACCACATCGTCAACACACGTACAAAAATATACCACATCACCAACAAACAGACAACACAAAATATACCACATTGTCAACTCACGGACAAAATATACCTCATTGTCAACTCACGTACAAAATATACCACATCATTAACACACGGGTAAAACATACCACATTGTCAACTCATGGACAAAATATACCACATCACTAACAAACAGACAACATAAAATATGCCACATCGTCAACTCACGGACAAAATATACCAAATCATTAACACATGAGCAAAATATACCACATTGTCAATTCATGGACAAAATATACCATATCGCCAACAAACAGACAACATCAAATATACTACATTGTCATCACATGGACAAAAAATATCACATCACCAACAAACAACCAACACAAAATATACCACATCATCATAACACGGACAAAATATACCAAATCACCAACAAACAGACAACACAAAATATACCACATTGTCATCACACGGACAATAATAAACCACTTCACCAACAAACAGAAAACACAAAATATACCACATTGTCCTCACACGGACAAAATTGACCAAATCATCAACAAACAGACAACACAAAATATACCACATTGTCATCACACGGACAAAAATATACCACAACATCATCACACGGGCAAACTATACCACATCACCAACAAACAGACAACACAAAATATACCTCATTGTCGACGCATGAACAAAATATACCACATCATCATCACACGGGCAAAATATACCACATCACCAACAAACAGACAACACAAAATATACCACATTGTCAACTTTTTTGCTGAAGACTTTTTTCATTTCTTGTGTCTGAATATTATACAGCAAATTATTAATTCGTATAATTTACAACCTATCTGATAGTTTGACCATTTTAAAAAATCTCTAATAAATATGTTTGCAGTTCGAAAGTAAAGTAAGTTTTAACAACGCTGGTTGTTTATGACAGATGTAACTGAAGTTGGCTTTATTCTGGGGAAAATATGGTTTTGTACTCCAAGAACGTGAAACAGGTAGACATAAACACAGCCGGCGTACAGGGATTTTATCACCGGGCGCAGACCCCATTGATGAAAGCCTGGTAGATAGGCGAGTGCCCGACCAAACCTCTAATTATCCGGCCCCCGTATTGTGTGTTACTGTACCCATGGGTTTGGTGCCAACAAACATTGATCGGCAGAAAGGGGAGCCGGCCCAACTCCCACATCGGACATATATCTCCGCAAAATGTCAGAATGTCCGGGGAGTTACCACGGCACAAATCACAAACATCGCGCTTTTGTTTCTGATCTATGACATTGGTACATCATAACGGTAATACGCAGCACGTGCACCCTATCGGTATACTTACAGCACGTGCGTAAATCGCACGCGGGATAGTTTATGTACGGCGATATGTCGGAATTTTATACATGTTTCAGGTTCCATCTAGAATGGATTAATTTTCTCCGAGTTACAGTAGCTTTGTCTTCATCAACAATAGTAGAAGGAATAGCCTTTAACTCGGATAAGGTCAAAAACATGGATGAAAGTACTCTCCTCTTCATAACGAATATCAAAGAACATTCCAAACAGACGCTATTTGAATATGTTCTTTCCCTATTTCTATAACGCTATGCACTGATATCACTGCAAACTTACAGACATTCGAACAGAAAATCCTCCTATGGAAAAAGTTTCTTTTAGAATCATATCATAGACGACTATATGAAAAGCTATTCAGACGATCAGTTTATGTCCGTCGGCGATTTATTGGGGAATTTTTCGGATGTTTGTAAGAATAATTACATAACTAAACAAGATATGGCTATTGCTGAATACCAATGTTTCCATGAGTACGAAGCATACTTGTATATGATATTCGACTGGATATCGTTAATGTGTTTCATCTATTTTGTTAATATAACATTTGTGTAACTTCACATGTATTAAACTATTAAATAACGTTTAATATACATACCTAGACAAGTGCCATAATACTATGTTTGCGTAATGGGATATAGGCGCCATGTCACATTTTGCAAATGGTTCGGTGATCGTTCTGATTGGTTAAGAATCAAATTGATTTTCATCACTAAATGAAATGTGTCACTTTTAAAGTTGTAGTAGTTATATATATCAATGCCAAAACAAACAAACCCGTGCATATGTCGCTTCATCGAGAGTAAAACACAAGGAGACACCGATCTGTAGCAATGGGGGCAGCATACAAAGTTAGCTTCATTCAGTGTCCCCTTGGCAGAAGAAAGGGCGAAACCCCCTACATTCAGAGGGTAAACAAAGTCCTATGTTGCAACAGAACGTGCATTATCTCGTCAATATATCCGGATAAAACTGAACGTAAATGTTAATACGAAAAGGCAGCATGAACTGAGCAGACACTAAAATAAAAAATAAATTCATACTTAGTGAGGAGTCCACGCGAAAAACTGGAAGTATTTATAGGTTTGCCTTAGAGTGCCCTGTACTACTAATGGTCTCTGATAGACAGATGGTGTTGACTACTACTGTAGCGCCACACTTTTACTACTGAAGAATCAAGTGTATTGGTCAAAAGAACACCAATATAACACAGCATATATATTCGTCAACAGAGACAACTAATCTACCGTAGATCCTCGGATAGAATTGAAAGAAAAGCACTGCTGAAGAAAAGGAAGGAAACATTTCTGAAATTTAATTTGTCAAGTTTGTCATATGGTTTGGTAGTGAGGTGACGATGGCAT